GTGCCTATGTATCAAATTTCGTTTAAATTCTTCCATAAATAAAAAGTTGGCACTGCGCATGCGCAAAACCAAATTTTGAAATTGGCGTTTGATTTTCCTTTATCCCAAGTGCCTATGTATCAAATTTCGTTTAAATTCTTCCAAAAATAAAAAAGTTGGCACTGCGCATGCGCAAAACCAAATTTTGAAATTGGCGTTTGATTTTCCTTTATTCCAAGTGCCTATGTATCAAATTTCATTCAAATACTTTTATAAGTAAAAAAGTTTGCAATTCGGTTATAAATGGTCGAGATGCGAAAAGGGCACTGTGAATTTTGAATCGATTCGATTCAACTTTTGGCATTGCGTATTATATGGTTAAAGCTATGCCCATATTGAATTTCATGCAATTCAGTTCATAACTAACGGAGATGTAAAAGCGATCGAACATTTCTAAACAAAGTTATCGTTCACACGGACAGATAGATGGACAGACAGACAAAGGAACAGACGGAGAGACCAACCGGCAGGCGACAGATAGCAATGCAAAATTATAAACGATCTCTAGGATCGTTAATAAACGGCAAAAGTGTAAAATTATGGAACATGTAAAAAACGGTTTTTTTGTTTTTTTACAATAACTTTTTTTGTAAGCGGTACAGAAAAAATTCCTTCCTTGGTACAAGACTCGACACCATAACGAACCAAATAGCGAAAAAAGTAGAACAATAGCTCTTAAGATAAAAAACTAGTAGCGTCGCAAAGTTAGCGGACGGACGGACGGACAAAGTGGCCACAATAGCGCATTTTTTTTTTATTTTTGTGGAAATGCGCTAAAAAGAAGGTTTCTGTCAACTACTGCCGCCAACTATCGCGTTTTGTGGGTAAATATCAAACGGAGGTGTTGATTAACTGAAACACATCAGAAGTTTGAATCTGTGGTTATATCTTCATAATAATTTCCGACCGCCACCAAAGTAGGTCTTCGAATTGTGTTCAAAATCCCAATCGATTCTTTACAGCGTGAACTTTTTCATGCTTCTATTTCAGCAAAATGAATGATTTTTATTAATCCGAACGCCAAGGGCCGATTATAGAGTTACTTTTGTTGTTAAATCTCGGAAGCTATTCGATTTGTTAGTTAACTAAAAAAATTCCTCAGTCCGTTGATTTGCAAAAATGATTGGGACAAAGATTGTTTTACGGTTCCACTATGTATAAAACAATTGGGAACGTTCTTGTAATCCCCCAGTTTGAAAGACAAAGCATCACTTTTTCTACTTGTTTATTTAATTAATCAATGAGTATGAAACTTACGGTGATCTGGTTTGTCATATTGTTTTGTTATCAAAAGAAGTTACTAAATACGGATTTTCAAAAAGATCGGATGAATTTTACTTAGTAATAACAAAGTGTTAATTTTCGATATTACTTTTTTACATTTTTCAATAACAATAACAGTTGAAGATGAGCGTTCCGGACTGTATCTTATAGAAAATTTTATTCTAAACCAATTCATGTCTACTCATTTTTTCCCTCAGAGCAATAGTTAACGAGATATTGGCAGTCAAATGTGAAAAAACACGACATTTTCCCATTTTTTCTTCGTTTTTTGTTTATAACAATATGTTCCGGGCGTTTCCGGCCAGGGGGACTATGATTTTCGGATTCAGCGAATTTTTTTACATAGAATTCGCTTGGTGTCGTTGAGTGAAGTGACAACATCCAGCCGTTGAGTGAAGGATCTAGGTAGAGTGGTAATGCCTATATGAAAAGCGGTCATCCTTTCCGATCTTTTACTAAGGTAGTCCCTTCTCTATTGCACATCGCGTCTCTGCCCCTCCGAGTCCACGTTTTGCAACACCGACAGCTAACGCCACCGACAATTTCGACGGCGCTTTCCTTCTTTACAATTTACAAGTATTCAGTATTTTCGCCCAGCCGCCCTCTCCAACGAAATCAGTCTTTAGCGTAACTCCAATTGCAACTATCGAAAACCGTTGTAACACACGTAAACAAAATGAGTCATTCTATTTTCATGCAATTGTATACCTGCAAAATATCAGTCCCTTATCATAATTATTGGATCAGATACCTAATTAAGAGCAGTTCTAAAAGCAGCAGGTACGTACGGACGAAATTCAAAAAAGTATACCTACCTAATCACAAAGAAAAGTATCTCATATCATTTATGTTTATGTATTTTGCGATTGTGCGAGTAAAGTAGGTATTATTTAGAAATTTAAAGAAACTTATCCCATCACTATGTTTATTGCTGATGTAGCAATTTGCATAAATGCAAATATGATTTGCAACACTCATCCTACAATTTTAGCACACTACCGACTTATTTTAAACCGATAACGCTAGGTATAGGTACTCTCTCGCAATTAACGTGACAATTTGAAAAAAAGACGGTACCTACTGAATTTTATAATGATAAGTACCTGTGACTATGTATATTATCATTTATTTTATGTGTTTCTCTTTATCATAACCGGGAAGGTCAAAGACAACTTGTTTAATTGGCGAATCTGCTGGTAACTTTATCTAGCTATTCTGCTATCATGATTAAAGGCTTGCTTTTGATGCGGCCGCTTGTTTTATATAGAATATACCTAGATATAACATGTGCATTATAATACTTTTAAATAATATGTTTCGGTCACCGTAAACATACTGTTTCGATCATCGATCACAAATTAATTTTACAAGGGCCACATGCAGCCTCTGATACGGACCTACCGTAACCGTATATTTCGCCTGTTGCCCTCGCAAATTTAATAATGCGATAATGTAATTGTAAGGTTAATATTGTGGTAGCGAAAATATGAAAATAAAATAATGCAATCCGGATCTGGATCGCCGACTTGGTTGTTGCCGTCGGGATCTGAGATCACTCTTGGCCGCCTATATCTCAAACCCCACGTTCACTATACTTTTAACATAAGCATTGCCTCTCTACCTAGATCCTTCACTCAACGGTAATGTGTCCTTTATAGTGACCGAACATTATAGGGTTATTTATCTGTATTGATTTTGAAACAAAATACACCAAGAACCACAGAGGGAGAAATGTCCCACTAGCAAAAATTAACAGCTTTTTACTACGAGTAGGTACAAGCGTCGAATGATATGTACATTTATTTTTGCACATTTATTTTGACAAAAATTATCCACAAGCCCAGATATAAATTTCAAATAAGGAAAAAAATATACAGTGATATTAATTTAAAAGTGGACATGACAGGGATTTCCTATGTCTAGTTTTAAATTACAAAATCTCTTCTGAAGAATGAAACTGAATGTTTTAACTTTTGTGGAAGAGAATCCCATAAGAAACTTAAGGGAAATGGTTGAATTTAATATGTCTTCATCATATAACCTACAAGCATACTAGCTACTGTCGTTTTTATTAAAATTGTTAAAATCTATTTTTTTATAGATTACAACAAAATGTGTGCGCATGTTATTTCGGTTGCATAAAATTAGGCGTCTTTTAGAAGTATAGACATACGAAATCACTATGTCTACTTTTAAATGAATATCACTGTATAATTTAGCACATCCCCCGAAAGTGATGCCCTGGGATATGGCCCACTTAGCTCGTTTAATTATAACCCGGGACCTGCGTATAACTCGACAACGATGTGTCGATGTCAAACCTTCGCCAATCGATTTCTACGCTCGTTCAAAGATGTGCTATTGAATATGAGCGCGATTAAAAGTCTGGTTTCCGAATGCGAGCTGAGTGTCAAAAATTCCCCTACTAAAAATCGTATGCGACTCTTCGTATTTTGTTTAATGTTAGGCGCGAGTTTGAGGGGTGGTTTGTAAATTTAACTCTCCTTCCCCTTTTACATTTTCTATGAGGGGTCGCTATTTTTAGCGCATTTTTTAAGAATTAAAAAAATGTGCTATTGTTTGCGTTTTGTCCGTCCGTCCGTCCGGACCCATTTCTACCGTTTATTGAACTACTTCTAGGGGAATGGTCCTAGCGTCCTGGAATTTTTTGCAGTTAGGTAGCCTATACCTTGAAGGTGTGCCAGACGGCCATCAAATTTCGCTGTGTAAAAAGCCCCCCCTCCCCAAATTATTTCCTGAGATGCTGTTTTTGAAAGTAAAACGTGCATATAACTTTTACATACGAACCAATTGCTTTCATTGTATTCTAAAGAAAGGTTTCAACGAAAGGAACCGTTTTCTACCAACTACTACCCTTCTTTCTGTACTCTTATCAAAGTACGGGGTGGAGGGGGAGGGGGTGGAACTAGTTTTATCCTTCATGGTACTCTAATGAAAGGTTTCAACGAAAGGAATTAATTTCTACCAACCAATATATCCATTGGTGATGTCAAAACAAAAGCTATTTACAAAAGCTATTTCGGCTAAAAAAATTGCGCTTTATCTGCACAATGTATACTGCATTATTATAATACTACGAGTAATACATGGAAATAATACCTACCTACCTTTAAGTACCAATTTAAGAAATACTGTCGCATTTCCAAATTGGTGCTGTAGGTACGTTTTTCTACCCTCATTACAATGGCTGTTATTTACGAAAAACGACTTCCTAAAAAACTAAAACCGATATTTCAAATTTTTTAAGGAGCCTTCAAAGAGGTATTATCAACGTTTTCATTTGATATATAACTTAATTATTTTCTTCAAAAACAACCATTAAGAATTGGTACTACAAGAAGTACCCCAGCTCCTCAAGTCATATGACCTGAGACGGTCAATTCCATTGGTTAAAATTTTGATCACTTTCGTTCAGTGGATTTCGAGGTAGCTCCCCTACTATATGGTTTTCAACTCATTTTAAAAGAATTGTCTTAGCATTCTAAAACCTGATCTGATCCATGGTATTCAAACAAATGGGCTTGAGTAAAGGTATTAATTTCTACCTTCCAACTACGATCTGCATCTGAAATCTATAGATGGTTTTATCACTAGTAGGCAAACTTCTCCTCCAAAAATGCATCTCGGGAATATATGTTTATAAATAAGAGAAGATAATAAATTTATGGATTTTATTAAAGAATTAAAGTATGTCATACATTACAAAAGTTAAGCAACTAACGCTGACGCTGTGCTCGACTCGTACTTCCAATTTGGTGCTAATACACTTTTGGTCTTGTAGTATCTCGCAAGTCTATGAATACGAGATTCGACCAAAATTAAACGGAACTTGCTGTCTTTATCTTTCCTGTTGCGTTCTAAATGTTTACGAATTGCAACTGCCTTTTTGATTAAGTAATACAAATCCTCGGGTAGATCAGGAGCTAAACCCATTGCCTTCATGATGCGTAAAATTTTATTACCAGTCACAAATCGTACTTGAGCGACACCGAGCGAATCCCTCAAAATGATACCTATAAAAATTACGAGTATGAATAATTATATAAATGCATCTACATACACTACATACCTATTTGGGAAGGAGTCAATCCCTTCTTGCCCAACTTAAAGATGTGATCTTTCACATCCTCCGCGGTCAATTTGAGCCATGTTGGAACGCTTCTTCTATATGGTAATGCAGACTGTGCAATACCCTTTCTGCAACATAAAATAAAAATTAGTCTCTTCTGCAAGTTTCAAATATGTTAAAGGCATGGTCACGCCATGAGGTATAACCTATAAGATTTGGTAACTCTTTTTCTTACTATGAAGTCAAGTATCTTATATTAAGCTCTAGGTTTTTTTTCACAACGTTAGTACTAACCCAGGAGTGTGCATACGACCCATTTTAACGGAAAGTATATTCTTCTAACAATCCAGGTAAATACAAGTTGTCAAAGCGCAACCTAAAAGAGGAAGTGGCTATTCGTAGACTTCTTTTTTTACTACGAAGGTTTACTGCGCATGAACGGAGTGCTTAGTTGCCGCATTTCGAAAATGTAATGTAATTATGCAAAATCACATATTGTAGATAAATTTCAATGCGGCAAATGTAACGTTCAACGGCGAGCGCTATCAGGATATGACAAATTAGTTTTTG